TAAATTAGACTGTGCGTGTGAAAAAAAAATATTCGATATAATTGATAAAATAGATAAATCAAGAAAAAGTTATAACAAAATTATAAAAAAAAAAATACATTTGAAATACGGGTTTGGTTTTGTTACTACATGCCTAGTACCATTACTTGGAATAATTTTACCAGTGTTAGATATGATAGATAGTAACATTATGGTTAATAGTAGTCAGTCTTCTCAAGGTTATAAAACTATTTTGAATGCATCAGGCATACCCATGGAATTTTCATATATTTACATTGCATTCTTTTTAATATTATCATATATAATATTGGCAATCATTAATTATATAATGGTAAAAATTGTAAAATATGAAAAATTAAAGGCGAATAAAGGTAAAATGGGTTTTAATGAATGTTGTGGTTTCTGTAAAGATGTATTCAGTAAATAGTAATAAAATAAAAATATATGAAAGCATAAAATTTTTATATGATTTCAGTAAATATCATTTTGTATTAGGTGAAATAGTTGAGAAAATTTTACATTTATCACTAAAATTTATATAATTTGATTTCTCTTTAGTTTTTAATTTTTTTGCTTCACTCTTATAATATTTATTCAATATAAATTATGTACACAGAATAAAATAATTATTATGTGTAATTTTTGAACTTTATTATGTATTTTATTTATGAATATACACTACTGAATGTGTATATCTGTGCATTTTAGGGAGAACAGTTTATAAATATATTTGATTATTTTTAATTATTTATGTATTTTTTTGTGTATGTTTCTAAAAATAGTGGTTGTATAACGCACGCAATATTTTATAATTTGTGAGCTCTTCTATAGTGTAACGTCTTAAAAATATGTATATATTTTAATTATTTTATATATTATTTTTTATTGGTGTACTTGAATAAACATGTCATTCTTTTAATTGATATATATTTGAGTTCAATTTCCTTGAGACAAATCGAACGTACTTATATTTTCTTATGAACTTATGTATATCTTAAAGTTATTATTTCTATACATATTAAAGTAATGCACTAGTTTGTTTTTATTAACATTATTTCTTTACATATTACTACAAAATATATATATTCAAAGATAGATTTATGCATTCGATTGTGAACTACGTATTTTGAAGTGTTTAATTTTGAATTCAAATTTTCTTATTATAATTTTATATAGAGTTACATTTATGTATATATATGCTCTTAGTTCTTTAATTAATACTATAGAAAGCACTTAAGTGAACATTATTAATGAGTTAATGTTTTAGTGGTGTCTATATATTTAAGTTATTACCTTCAATGATATTTTCAATCACTTTGATAAACTGTGTTATTTTATGATATTTGACCAATATAGATAATTTCAGAGATTTCTTTTATTCGCATTTCAGTGTTAATATATATAAATAATCATGTTCCACAAAACATATTTTACGTCTATATATCATTTATTATATAATGTACTAGATGGTATTACCTTTTATTTTATATATCTTTTAAGTGTATTGTGCAAAATTATTTGCTACATTGTATGTATAGTTTTTAGTTATTTGTTTGACCAATGTGAATTAGAACCAATTTATTTGTTTGTATTATATATTTCAGACAACCTTTATTTATTATTCTTATATGTGTCCATGAAACAACTGGATAAAATAAATGATAAATATTAAATATGAAAAAAATTATAAAAGTATTTACACACAATAGAAATATTTTAGAAAATACTTATGAAGAGTTTCAGTATAATATTAGCATGTACCATATAAAATAATATTTACCAACATTCTAAATTATAATATCTATTGATTTACCTTTTGTAAAATGTTAAATTATTGTAATTCATATTTTTATGAAAAAAATCCTATAGACAGTAATACATGCAATTAAATCTAAGAACAGTTTGTAGATTATTGTTGTATGTGAGTTTTATATAAGATAAATAGTATTCTATTTTATAGCATATCTTTGTATAATGCACTTTCTAATATTTATGTGTTCAATTAGGTTTATTAATTTATGGATATATATAGGACTAAAAATATGAGAACTGTTACCAGTGGTTATATCATATACTAAATTTAAATTTATATAAGACAAAGGAAAAAATTTCCATTTACACATAATTTTATTTTTAGTGATTTCTGTAAAAATATATTTTTTTGCATAAATTCAAAACATTCATTCTTTAGAAGAATATTTAAAATTTTTTTTTTTATATAATCCCTTTTGAGAATGCAATTTTAAAGGATCCACCTTTACATAATCCACATGAGAAATTTTAATAAACATGTGGATAATAATAATTTAAAAGTAAAGCATTGAAATAAAGTAACTGTTTCTAGAAGTTCTAACAATGAATTATATGATTTGTGTGTTACAAGATGAAAAGCATTTAACTGAAATGAAACATAGTATATTATATAAACATCAGTGTTTACATGTCCTTTACTAAAATTGCAAAAAATCATGGGCATCAAGAAACAACTTCATCTATCGTACTTCTTTGTTTAACATCTTAATAAAGTAAAATATTATTTAATTGATATACGCAAAATCTCTATTTGTTCATATTTTTATTTTGAGCAACATATTTTGTAATAACTTATTAAAGAAATATTTGTTAATGATTCTATAATGCATTTTGGCAATATTTTAGGAAATAACTCCATAATTAATAAAAAATATGTAAATGTCGAATACATTAATATACTATAAACTATGTACTAAAAACGTAGTGATCGTTACATTTCACTGGTGTTTAATAGATTTTTAAATTATTTTGTATGTGATGAGATGTAAAATATGGATAATTTTTTTTAATTATTAAAATGCACTTAAGACAATTCATCCTATGTAAAGATAAAATGTGCAAAAATATGTGATTGTTTAAATGTAAGATTTTAATAAGGTTCGTTCACGTTTTACTGTTATTTCCACTTTTATTTATATTTAATGTAAGACTGTTAATATAAGTGAAGCACTGTTATTAGGTGATGTAGTGAGAAAATTAAAAGAATGAATTAATTTAATATATTTTTTATTAAATGAATGTTTTTTAAAAATTTAGATGGTGAATGATGTATGCAATCTATATTTTCAATAAACTAGTTATATTTAATATATATATTTAATTATTTCGATGACTATGAAAACAAAGTGTGCGTAAAAAGAGATATATTATTGTTACTCAATTCCTTAAATAAATATTTCTCTTTTACATAATCATACATATCTAAAGGACTCTAATAATGATTATAAGTAAAAAATGAAAAAGAAATAAATATATATTTAATGCTAACAAGAAAAGAAAATTCCCTCATAAACAAAAAGTCCCTTATTTACTAATTTAAGAAATAATAGTTAATTTCATTATGTTTCATCATACTTCTATGCGTATAAGAAACTGCAATAATTAATACATAGATCCACAATCATGTAAAATATTTAATATTCTAAATTTATATAAAATGCTATATCAGTGTAATGTGTCTAAAAGGGCGCGAGATTATTATTCCTTATAATTATCTAAATTTTTCTACATAAAATGTTGTCCAATTTTATTAAGATTAAGAAAAAATAGTTTATATAAAATGTCTGAATAAATTTGATCTCATATAATAATAATATAATTTTTCAATATTACATTGTTTTTCTTACTGGTAATAAACATAAATGTGGTTAAAAACGGGTTAGTAATGTGTAATTATTATATAGGTTAGGCTAATATTTCTCAAACTTTATGTACACATTTTTATCACGTCAGAAATATGTAAAATTTTATCATTTTTTATTACTGTTTTGACATGATATGGTTTATCCTGCAACAAAATAAATGTTCCAAATTGTATGACAACATGTATTTATTTTATAATGTTACTAAAAAAAAAAAAAAAAACATATATGATTTAAGGATACGAATAAATGAAAAATAGAGCAAAAATTTTAAGTTGATTCATATGCTTTAAAAAGTGTGATATATTGATGGAACTGCTTCTGTAATTATAATTTTTGGAAATCCTTTGAACAATGCAAATTTTATTAAAAAAATGTTCTATCAATATATTTTTTAAAATATTTTTAAACGATATTTTTTGCACAATATGTAAGCTAGTTTTTTTTTTTTCCGTTCTTATGTTTTTTTTTATAATATAAGTTATAGATGTGCACAACAGGGTTTGAACTATAAGTATTGAGTGTTCTAATAATATAGAGAGAAGTTTTAAGGTGCAAAATAATTTACAACAGCACAACAGTGTTATTATTTAGCATAGACCATTTAATATCAACAATATTTGAAATTTCATTTAAAGAATATTCAAAAAATCTGATAAATTATATTATAAATAATTCAACAAATAAATTAAGAATATCTTCATTAATTTATGATTGGCACTATAATACAATTATTATTTACGTAAACAATTAGTGTGTTGCTTATATTTTTATATATAGTGTGATCTTTTTTTTGTTTTTGATTTTATCTTATAATTATTAAAAATAGGAATTTTTTATGTAAATAGTATTAAAAAAAAGGTAGTCGAATATATTAGTAAATAATAATGCTTACAAATGTGTAATTCTTTAAATTCTAAAAATGATGTAAAATATTTCCTAAATGTAGTTATAGATTATTAAATATTTTTGCCATTTTATATATTAATATATATAGTTTTATAATATTTATAAATTTACAAGTATAATTATGTTGAAAAACGATGGCGAAGACAACAGATACGTCTAATTTGGTAAATATATTTGCATAAATTAGTGCTTATGGTTTGATACTTACATAATTTCTTTCTCATGTAACAAAAGTGATATTATATGTTGTTAAAACCTAATTTTATTACTTGTGCTATGATTTTTTTGTCATTATTTTCAGGAGGCAGCTGCAAAGAGTTTAAAACTTAATGAGTTGTTTGAACAATTTTTTATAAACCAAGAAACATCTAATTATCATAGTTATTGCAACCAAGTAAAAAAGTATGATAGCAGACATGATGGAGTCAGTGACCTCTGCAAAAAACTAGTAGGATTTTTAGAAAAAATTCCACAAACAACTGATAGAACCATGCGTAATAATTATTGTGAGTACTTAAGTTATTGGTTACATGATAAAGTAGGTGACATATACAAACAAATTTCGGAAAAAACGGATGATATACCATTTTTTAAAGATCTTATTAACGTAATGATTGAGGTTAATGGTCACATTAAAAAAAATAAGTGTACATTAGAATATAACTATAATGTTAGTTTATATGAATGGAAAAATAGGAAATTATCTTACATTTACTTAAAAAAATATGACGATATTAAAAAAATTATTAGTGCCGGAACTAAAGATAATTGTAATATGCATATTACCTATCTTAATAGCATTAATACATTGTATAAAAAGTATAAGAAAGATGATTGTAAACCTGTCTTCCTTTGGTATATTGGTCCAAATTATGCTGATTGTTCTTCTACGTATAGTCCAGATAAATTAATATCTACATTAACTCATTGCAATGATGAACAACACATAGATATTTTAGATATTGGTGTGGGACAATCAGGAAATAGAGAAGTTTTAGAAAATGGACAATCTGAAAAAGATTCAAGTCTATCAGATTCAGATCAAGCAGATTCATCAAGTTCATCAGATGTACCACGTCAATTACATTCACCAGGTTCAATGGATACAGATGATCAATTATATTCACCAAATTCAGAAGCAGAGGGTCCAGATTTACAAAATCCATCAAATTCAGGCACAATAACATTAGAATCTTCAGGAGAAGTAGAATATATAGATAATAGAGATTCCAAGTATTTTGAAACAGGAATTTATATTCAAGAAGGGAGTTATGGTGCCCATCATACTGTTTCTACAACTATACTTATGCCATATGATAACACTGCTGTTTCTTCTAATTTTTTACAAAGAATATATAACATATTGTTTTCAAAGTACCTTCATCACGTAATCATGGGTGCTTCTATAGTTGTAGTAGTTATCTTTCTCATATTTTTCTTTTCAGTAACTAAGAACTCTATTTTAAAGGATAACAAACTTTTGATGATATTCACACTTTCTATTTATGAATGTAATTATGAAGCCAGATAAATTTCACTTTTTACTTTTTTTCTTTTGTATTAGTTTACTTCGTCAGGTTCGCAATCAAATAAAAGTGAAGAAAAAAAAAGAGATTATGAGTGGGATTTTTGTGATAGGGATGAAGAAGAATTTTCAGGATGTGGATCAGAAACACAACATGCGAGCTCCCAAATAAATGACGTATATTTATCGTATCAACCTAGGCGTAATTATTATGGTAAATTAAGTATATGACTAGAAAACAATTAGAATAACCATTTTATCAGGAAAATCTAGTAGTATCATTTAATCAGTTATTATTATGAAGAAGGATAGAAGAACAAAATAATTGATATATAAAGAAATTCCTTGATTATTTAAACTATTTCAAGAATAATTAACATGTACACGATATCAATGAATGTTGAACATATAGAAGCGACGGATACATATATGCATCGTGGAGAAGAATAGTTTAAATAGAATTATTAGGGGTATATTCCTACGCAATTTCAAAAAACAATAAAATTTATTATTCTAGAATATGGTAGGGAATATTGGGTAATTATGTATATTTAACCGTGTTATATAAATTATTCTATTTTACTGAATAGCTAAGAAGTGAAAGACAAAAAAACAATAAATATGAGGAAATTGCAGAAGCAGTTTCTAGGAATAGTTTAATAAAAAAATTATACTAAGAAAATTATTGGTAAATAATAATACACTTTGAAATTTTATTGTGAACACTTCTTTGAACATTTTTAATTAATGTAAATAAAAAGATAATTTGTTTTAATTCATTATATGCATGTACACTTAACAAGTTAGTCGTAAATATTAAAGTCTTCTACTTAATTGTTTTTGTATATATTATTGTTCATTTTGTTTTTTCCTTGTTTTCTATTTGTTATTATATTAAATTTGTGAATATATTTTATGGTATTCGTTAATAAGACTAGTTTATGTGCTTATGTAAACCATGTCCAACATTTTTAATATTATCCAAATAATATAAACTATCCGATGTTTGCATACATAAACATGTTTATAATGCCTTTTAATTCTATTTGAAGTTTATTATAATTTATATTAATATAATAATTTTGCAATTTACTCTATATTCTTTTTTTTTTTTCCTGTCTGCATGTAATATACAAAAATGTGAGACAAGAATTTTATATAAAACTTTAAATTTGTACCTAAAAAAATAAAACAAATGAAATATAAAAATTTTGTATTTTATTTGATATATAAATAGACAATTTTAATTTATTTCAGTTTCACATATATAATTTTATGTTATACAAGAAGCATATTTTATCAAAAATATAGGAATGTATTAATATATTTTTTTGTGCACAAGAATATGATATATAAATCTTTCCAGATTCGTTCTGGAGAATAGTTATTATAAATAATATATTTCTATTAAAATGGAGGATGTTTGTTTATTACTAATTATTTGTAGATTTTTTTTTAACACCAGAAGAGTGAGTTGCGTTCATGAATTATTTATGTGCACAAAACAGGAATGTTAAATATGAGACATGTAAATTAAGAGCAAATTAATCAATATATTATCATATCCTATTATATAAAATATATTTTGTTGTAATAAATTTTTTTAATGTTTAAGTCAACCATAAGGGAACAAGTTTTTTTAAATATTTTACAGAAGCCTTATATATTGGTAAAATTGATTAGGATCGTCCTTAACTGTTAAATATTTTGTTTAATTTTTGCATAATAAAAGGTTAAAATTTATTAATAACACAATTATTTAAAAGAGTGACAACGAAAAGAAATGATTAATCGTGTTCATTATCCAAAAAAATACAAGGAAGAAACAAATTAAAAAAAAAAATAATATAAGTGTACGCATACAATTAGAACAAACTAAATTGGAAAAATAATCGATATGCTGTAGGATTTACAATACATGTATTTGTTTTTGCATTATCTTATATAGTAATCCATTTTATACACAAAAAGGGGGTAATATTTTAACCAATAAAAAAAAAAAAATTGTAACGGGACTCATGATTCCACCAAAAAAAAAGAAAAAAAAATAGTTACTCCATATAATTGTGTAATGATGCTTAATGTTTTATATATTATTCTTGTAGTATAAATGAACCCCAAAACAAATTCGTATTTATTACAAATAAATTAATGCCTTGTTATGTTTAATGAAAAATACACTCTTACATTTTTTTTCATGAAATAGGACAGTGTGCAGAAATTATAATTCGTCACGATTCATGCTTTCTAACATTTATAATTTTTAAATTATGTTTTATTAGAAATGAATTTAAAGTACCCTTATCAATCTCATGGAAAAATGTCATATATATATGATAATTTTTTCAATATTTCTAAAGATTTCAATATATATACATATAAGAATTTACATGTGTATGTTACGTTACGTACAAATAAACATTGTTTTTTTTAATTCTCATATTACATAATATATTTTTGCTATAATAGTAAATTAATTGTTCTCGTTTTTCCTTTAAACAATAGGTTTTACCGAATTATCCCATCCAGTACACTTTTTATAAAGTGTTCCATTAAAACCGTATTTTTACTAGTATATTGCAGTTATGTTTAAAAAATAAATAATTATATATGTAATTATTTAAAATAATATTTAATTTCATTACACACTTTCGAAAATTGATTTCATTACTTTGAAGTAGAAAATATTTAAATTTCTAATGTTAAAAACAAGAACAAAATTATTAAGTATGACAAAATATTTTTAATAGAATATAAAAAACTTGGGGGTTGAGGAAAAATATATTGTAACAGGAAAACATATTAATGAATATTCCATATGTTCAAGAAAATAAGACTCTTTTGAATCATTACGAGATATGCAATGAAGAATAGCATTAAAGCTTTGAATTTTTTCCTTTTTTCTATATTTTTCAATTTTCTTATATACACCTAAGCATTTCAGAATTACAAGAAAGGCGTATTTTACTGTAAATAAATTAATAATATATTAATATTATTAGCATAACATTTTTAAGGTACAAATTTTATAAAAAAAACGTTTTTCTTGGTTATAATTTTTATAAAACGAGAAGTATAATTTACAAAATTTAAATAAGTGAAAATTAAAATATATGATATTGTAATTCGTAAAAATAATACATAAAATAATAAATAGAAAGCTATATTTGAGCAATATCTGTTTCTAAAGATATGAATTTGTGCATATATTTTTTGATATTCTACATTTTAACTTATATATATCACTTTATTTTTTTAGTTGATCAATTTCGTACCAATATACATATAAATTCTATATGAATTCTCTTTATAAAATCACATTTTAAGCTATAATTATAATAGAAATATGTATTTTTATATGTTATAATATTAAAAAATATATATTTTATTGTATATAAATTTATTATTTTATAAATTGAATATTTCAAATAGTTTATAAAAGAGATATATTTATGTATGAACTGAATTTAATTTTATAGGCTATATTGTAATATTTATAATATGTAAGTTACATTTCTTGTAATTTTTAGTATTTCCTATATTTGCAAAGAATAAATATAGATAAATATCTTAGAGTTTTTTTATTATTTCATCGTATTATAAATACTATATATCATATACATACAAGAATGCCCCAATTATATATAATGTACTATACATACATGATTTGTGCATACTAATAATTTTTTAGTACTTAAAATGAAATGGAAGATATAATATAATAATAGATGTTAACTAATATAATTTTCATTTATTTCATTAATTCATTATGTAATGCACATCTATTCATGGTTATTATATTATAATTATCTAGTTATTTCATATAAAATCATAATATACATTATTATATGATGAGAATACTTAATCAAAATATCTATGTGTATTGTTTAAATATCACAAAATTATTATTTTTATAGGTTAATCGTAATTTGCTATTAGAATGAATGAATACATATATTTACATAATAATTGAGTACTAGGGTAGCAACTTAATACTATTAAGGTACAGATAAATATATTTCTTTGTGTTATTATTATTTATAAACAGAATATTTTTTATTATATAAATTTTTCATACTATTACGATGTGTCAATTCACAATTTACAGATTATTGAAACTGATTTCATATTAATGCAGTTATTTTACTTTACATATTGTTCATATAAATATGGTTTCATATAAGTATGTAAAAAATATATTCAATTATTATAAGTATTTCAAAATTCACAGGATTAATGTTTTACACTTACAATATTATAATATGATTTTTTTAATATATATTAATACCAAATCAAGAATGCAATATACATATGTATATATAGGGCATAAACAGAAAAATAAATTTCATTTTTACATTTTTCTAATAATACCATTAATATATATGTATAAATATGTTTTAATTGAATTGTGCACTCAATGGTTCTTTGTACTATTGATGAATAATTAATGTTCTGATTGCTTTTATTTTTTCAAAAAGATTCAATAATAAGATCCAATTGCATGCAAAATATTTAGCACGTATAATATGTGGATAATATTTTGATAATTAGCATTACGTCAACCATAAATTTATTTTTAATGCATTTGTTGAATATATGTATACAGAATAAATCATTATGAGTAGCATTACGGAAAATTTTTTTAAATATAATTTACATACAAGGAATGATTGAAATAATATTCTTGTTAACCTTATATATAAAATTATATATTTATTGCAATGAGTTTATAATAACTTAATTTATAAGTACAACTATAGGAATGATATTATTTTGTATATAAAATAATATTAGAAAATAATTTGTTGTCGTACATAATACTGTAATTCCATTTGCTACTTTTTCAGTAGGTTCCTGCAATATTTACCTATTATCCAATGATACTGTATTGATAAAATTATGATAAGATCAATAATATAGTTAATAATAATATTTCGAATATTTATTAAGTGTAGAATAATATTTAATTTTTTCTTATTTGAATAACATTTTTTTTTATAATATCAGTTTATAAATTATTAAACTAACAAAATTACATATTTGAGTAATCTTACTGCTTTTATAATAATAAAAAAATATATATAAATATGGATGGAATAAGGAATTTAATTTTATTTGTACGCTTAATCAATAGGATATATCTGATTGCTATTCTTGAATGTATTAAATTTTGTATAATTAATATAAAAATAATGATAATTATATAAATACGTATACATATAGAATAATACTGAAGAACTAGAAGTATTATTACATAATTCAATATAATATACTCATTTGGGGAACTTTTAAATATGACATAAAAATATTTTCATGGTTTTTGCATGCACAAATATCAAAAAATCTAATTGCTTAAGAGAAATTTCATTAGTTCTGAAACAGTAGTCATAATATAATTGGTTTAATATTATTTAATGTTTCTATAAAAGTAATTCCATCTTAAAGAAAACATAATTTTAAATTGATTATAAATTACATATAGTTGTCAATGAAAAAGGTTAATATATCTGTTTTATTTATGTTCTATTAACTATAATTACTTTTTACACAATTATTAATAAATACAAGTAAATAACTATTCTGTTTATAATTCATCTTATTCATTAATATATTTTATGCATTTTACCCTTTATTATTAAATTTCATTTTTTCATAAAGTATTTACTTTATTAATTCATAATTTTCATGTTTTTTTAAAATATGTTTTAATTAGAAGTTATTTCATTCAGAATATATTCCACTAGCAGATTTATTTCTTTATTTCTTTCTATTTTTTATTAATAGCTTGAAAAATATTGTAAATATTTTCTAATGATTTCTTCTTTGCAGAAATAGTTCCTATACTCTGTTTATATGGAGACAGAATTTTTCATTCAAACGCAATTCACAATTAGTTATGCATTGATGTTTTATTTTTCCCAAATATTATAGTCATATGAATTAGATTAATTATGTAATATAAAAATACAAATTTTGACAATATAAGACATTTTTTTTTAGTTTAAGGTAAATCGGACAAAGAATACATTTCAAATACGTATTAAAAAATTTTCTTTATATGACAGTTTTATATTTAAAATAAAATTCTATTAAGACTAAACGTTAATCAAAATTCATACTGAATCAAAATATACGTACATTTACTTATAAAGAAGTACTTTATTTTAAAAAATTCTAAAACAGTTTCACAACAGAGGTAAATGAACGAAACATATCAATAAAATGTACACTTTTCCAATGTTATATCCTTATTTCCATGCTGTAGTTAATATTACAGCACAAATTATTTATATTTATGAATTTCAAAAACATAATCTTATTGTCTTACAATAATTTAAAACAAATAAAATAATTAAATAAAAATTAAGAACACAAAATTATTAGTTAATATATACTTAATGTTTAAAAAAAATTGGTTTATGAATTTTTTAAAAACAAATATTGATAATTGTTTTTAATATTGAAAATAGCTATATGCAAAATTGATACTTCTTTCTCTTGTAAATGAAGGTCCAAATAGTATCCTTTTCAATTTTTCACTCATTTGCTTCCGTTTTTTTTTCTTTTTCTTTTTAAGGAACACTCCTAAAGAGGTGTACTAAAAAAAATAAAAATATTATATAATGGAAATTTAATTCATATAAATAATTAAAAATATATGCATAATTCTTTTATTGCATCTCATTTTAGTTTACCTTTTTAAGTATTATCAGTAACAAAAAAATTAACAGTGGCACTAAAGTCACTGTGATATATATTTTATATGATATCCAGTTGTTGCTTTCACTGGATTCACCTTTTACAATATCATTACCACGGGTAACTGTAGCCTCTGTTGTTACAGGTACACTTAAATATTTTTCACTTTCTGCTGTATTTGTTACAAGAGATGCGACATTGTCTTGAGTTCCTGAAATTTCATTAAATATTTTAGAATGGGATTGTAATATATTACAATAGTGAGTGAAAGTTATAATTGAGATATACAAGATCATTTGTTATGTCAGGTGATTTACCATTTTGAGTAATGTTTTCATTAGAATCAATGCCATAGTTACCTGCATCATGAATTCCTTCTACTGTAGCACTTAAAGTTATATTCTTATCGGTATCAGCACTTTCACTACCAGAAATATCTTGACCTGTAGATACATCATTAAAATATTCAAATTGGGAACTATATTTAACAGGAGATAGGTTATTGTTAACTTTATGATTAGCACATATGCTATTTATACCTGTGAGCATTTTGTCTTCATCTCTAGTTTGTAGATTATTGGTAGCACTTTTTTGAGAAGATATAAGAGGAAGTAGTGAATAAACAAACGCCTTGTAAAAAGAGTGTACTGCATTAATGATTTCATAAGCAGCAACATGTCCATAGTTTATATAATCTTCCAGAGAATTATATTGATTATCTTGTGTATTATTTTGGGGGATACTTGCACTTAGATTACTTTCTCCTTGTGTGCTTTTTGTATTATTTTCCAGGTAAGGGACTGCTCCTAAAGACTCCGCATTTTCACTAGTGTGCAACACTGCATTTGGAGATCCTCCTGGGACAGATAAAGATTCTGATGGAGTTTATGTTTTCATAGGTGTAGTAGAATCTTCATTAATTATTGATGAAGATGTTTCATCTTTTTGCTTACCTAAATCAGATGTATTTATTAATTCCTGTTGTTTATTACCTAAAACTTCATTTTTTAAAGATGCTTCATTTCCATTTGTACTGTTTTCCTCGCGCGCTGGAAAATCAATATCTTCTGAAGCTTTTAATTCATCGGAATCTCCTGCCATTTGTGGTTTTAATTCATGTTTTTCCAACTCAGACACTATTTGTTCTATATTAATAACATTTACTTTACATATATTATTTGTACCTGATTTTAATTCATATTTTTTATCATTACAACATGTGTCATCGATATCGTATCTGTAATTAACATCACATCTTTTACAGTAACTCGTTAAACCTTTTACTGCATATGATCCAGCAAGGGCAGAAATTTTTTCAAAACACTGATTTTTTAATGTTGTTATAAATTCATATATTTTATAGCATTCTTCACATAGACTTATGCAGTTCTCATTTTCCAAATTAGGATGTTCACGTTCAAATTTTACTAAAATATCGACATAATTATCGTGGCAAGTTTGAGTCGTAGACGATTGATCATCATTAATGAAAACAACAACTGAACGCCCCATTTTCTACATTTAATTTTTATTATACTTTTATTCCTTTATGCCTCGTTTAAACAAATAATACTAGAAAATAAATCATACAAATAAATAGGTGCATTTGCATACGGGAATTTAATATTTTTGTATCACGACAACTTATTAATATTTTTATGGAAGTACAAATAATTATATTCATAAATGATATAATATAATTTATATAAGATATCACTAGGATGCTTTGAAATCTAATACATGAATAATTTGAAGTAATAATATTTGGATACACAATTATTTATAGGCATAACAGTAAAACAGTTGTATTCTCAAATATATGTTTAATGAATGTATAATTTGTTATACATTAAATCTACATAGTATATAAGGAGGTATAAGAAATCTGGAACTATGGACATTATAATGGTAGTAAAATAAAAATAGGAGTTTAAAGCTTATACACATTGAACACAAGAAAAAATGAATACATTAAATATAAAAGGTTTCATTTATGTGGCACAAAGAAATTAAATAAGGTTATTTCTAGAATTTTTTTAATGTATACTTATATTTTTATATTAATAGTAAGACATATTATATATTTAAAATTTTCTATATGTGTTCATATAAATTCATCACTTGTTTATAGTTTAATTGCTATTTTATAAAAAATGTTACTATTAAAAGAATGTGTTTTTATAATTTCGTTTTAAATAAAAAATTCGGTACTTACACATTTGTTTCATTATTATTATGTTGATATATTTTGAATCCTATAATGCCGTATATAAAGACAAGTAATATACAATGCATAAATTATAAGAAGTTTTATATTATTATCGCAAAAAATATTTATAATTAGAATTCCCATATAATGCTTAAAATGAATTAGAAACGGTGTAATAAAAATTCAGAGGTGTACAATTTTCCTGTGTGTATATGCTTTATTTAATTTTCTAGAAACATCTTACCCATTACATATATCTGCCCTTCACTTGCCTACATATTTATATTTTGAGAATCATTAATTTTATTTAGGATATAATTAGAATGTTATAATGTTATAATGTATATGAATTAAAACAAATATTAATATAATTAAAATTAATAAATAAATTTATAAATACGCTATACAATTTTTTGAAAATTACTAACATATCTATGGAGAATTTTTTGACATATTCAACAATAAAAAATATATAATAAATATTATACATTAACTTCCTAGAGAACGCTAATATAATGTGTGACATATATAATGATAATAAACAAAATCGGTTCATCCTATTTTATTCTTATAATATTGTTGCAACATTTGCATTCAATAAGTAAAAAATAAATGTTTATTAATTGTTCTTCTAAATGGGAACATTGATATATTTTCGTAAACTAATAATTTATTAATTTTTTTGTTGAATATATAAATGTTTTACATTTAGTTGATATATAATAGATGCAGCCTATATATGAAATATTTAAGCAAAATATTTTTAAAAATATGTATTTAAAATTAAGTATAATTCAATTAGACATTTCATTAAAAGGGCATATTGTGGTTCCTTTATATGGTCATTTGTATGTCGTGGTATAGAATCCTTTTAAGGTTATTTCAAGGATTTTCTTACTAATGAATAATAATAATAATATAGTTAAATTATGAAATCATTATATGATTGTCTTAAAGAACATATTTTATAGCTTGAAAAGATCTTAACCTGGTTCATTTGTTATTTGCATTAGCTATATTAGCTGTTATATGAATCCAATGACTTTAATATTTTTTTCTATTTACACTGTTAATAAGATTAATTCCTTTTCCTTGGGTTTCTATAACCTGTATAAAAAAACCTATATATATAATAAATCTCTCAAAAGGAACATATTATTTTACTTTTCATACGTTAACTATTTAGAGGAATAATAATAACTTCATTATTTAGTCATAGATTCCATTCAGCATAATACAGTATATTAGTAACAATTCACTATTTTAGCTCTTCACATGTATTCATTATACATTTAGAGATGTAAATATATTCCTTTTATAGTTATCACTGGTGTTAGTTATATTTAACCGAATGTATTTTTTTCCCTAATGCGCAACCAAATAATTCAATTTTTTAGGTATCTTTTTAGATTTGTTCTATGTTTTTAGTCTTTTACACGTGATTCTCTTAGTTTTAAAATTTTATGGTCTTTTTAGATATTATAATACAGATGCTTATAAAATAGTTTTATTTTATGAGAAACTGATCACTTTTAATATCGTTTATAAGAATTTTAAATAAGGAATTTTAATTTTAACTTCATTTATTGCCTTATATGTAGAGCTACAAAGTTTTTTTCATACTCTTCTTAATGTAATTAATGGTTTACTACTTATTAAGGAAAATGTCTTGTAATATACAGTACAAAAGATTATTTTATTAATCGTCTTGAGTTTTTCCAAATATATTAACAGTTATTACTTAATTTTTGGGTTACTTTTGAGAAAAACCTTTTTTTTCCTATAAAATTTGATTATTTGAAATCATTTTTATATGTTATGTGTGCATTATATTGAAGGAGTGCCAATATTTTGCAAAATGTTGATTTAAGTACTTCACATTAATTATAATGATTTCATTATTATTTTGGTTATTAGCACTATAAGTCCATTCGTGTTGAATGATAAAAAAATCATCAAACAAAACCGAAGAAGGGTTAATATGCAAGAATAAATAAATGCAAAAACATCCATATGTTATGGGATATTCGAATAGCTTGATGTGCAAAAAAGTGTAGAAACATTTTTATGCTTTATATGTAAAGATAAATGTGACTTACCTATAAATATAATACAGATAAATAGAATAAAATATCACTTAAAATTTTATTTATGTTCACTTGTGTAAGGTTAAAAAAAGAACAATCAACTTCATAAATGTAATAATAATTACAGTAATTTTTAAAAAAAGATATTAATTGTATTCTCAATTTATACATACTTGGGGCTAAAATGTTTTTAAAATTTTTTACCATAATTATTTTTTATGGTTTTTTCTTAAAACCGTAAAATTTGTATGCTTAATTATGGTCTCTGGTTAATAAAAGAAATGTAATAAATACACTATTTATTATTTTTTTAATAAAATATATTTAGAGCTTTTATGTTTATTCACAAAAGAAATAAATTAAATATTTAGAAAAACATGCAAAATGTGTTTTATTTAGGAATAAAATTAAGTTCATTTTAAGCGAAAATATAAAAGATTTTATATCATAGTGACCTTCAGAGCACAATTCTTTTAAGTGTAAAACTACTTTTTAATATTTTTGTAATTATTAATTAAATAAAATACCATCCTTTTTAAAATCATTTACCGAAAGAAATTGTTTTGCATGTATATAGAATTATATTAATATTTAAAAGCTTATTTTTAAATGTCAAAAAATGGGTACTACAACAAAACACTTTTTTCTACTACACAAATTGTATGAGCACCGAGGTTTTACTATTTACTGTAGGATTAACAATATTGAATAATATATCCATAGAATTTATAACATTTTGTGACAAAATTTTGCCATTTATAGGGGAAACGAAAATAAAATAACTTATATGAAGTTTATTATTTTTTGTTGCATTTGCATGTCTTAGTGACATTAAAATTTTAACGCGTTTGTTTTGAAGAATGTATAATTAAATAATTGACATTAATAACGCTTCAAAAGGGATAATAGGATTATAAAAAGGAGCTACTCTTTTTTAGAGGAAAAAATGAAGATATAAATTATATACTGAAAGTATACTTATTATAAGAAGCCTTTTTAATAGACGATATTTTAAAAGATACAAATATTCATTAAAGACATGTATAAGTTACATATTGTACAGAGAGAAAATTACAATGGTTTGATTTATTGTATATTATGGACAGCGTTATATGATACTCTGTTGTACTTTTATTTTGCAGAAGAAAAATTTCCTTAATAAATTCATGAATAATTAAAAATTTTCACTTTATATGGAGTAATAGAACAATAGAGTAGTTTGGCTTTAGTTAATGTTTTTTTCGTATAAATTATATCCTACTTTTTATAAAAAATTTAAAGAGATGAATATCTTATCAGTATATTATATATTATTACATACCATTAACAAATAGGCACCAATATACGAACATCATTATTTCATGTAGTTAGTATATATAAAAATGAGGTGGTAACAATAAATAATATAGGTAGGATATGTTCATCGTTTTAATATGTAGATAGACAAGTATACCAATATTTTTTGTAATTTGAAAAATAGTGAGGGACTCTATTTCATAAGGAAGAATAAATTTATTTAGTACTATTTATATTTCATAAACAATTAACTGTTTGAAAAATTTCCAAGTTTACTATTCTATAAAATATATGAAGTATTTGGTAATTTTCATATCATAAATTATAATTTCATTGATAGAATAATTTAGAAAACATTGTCTAAGAGGATAAGAGAATTTGTAAAAATGATTGTAAATACTTTAGTAAAATTGTCAGACAAACATGGAAATTAACGCAACAAATGAATGTTAATCGTTACGAACAAGTTACAAAATAAATTAAGGAAAAAGCATTATAAAAGGAAAGAAATAAAAAACGAATATGCTAGATATAAAGCTGTTAAATGAGCATTACTATTATTTGAAAATTATTCTAAGGTAGGACTGTGTTGATGTTATTTGCCAGAAACCCCTAATCAAATGGAAAGAACAGAAAAATTTACATGATAATATTGGATAATATAAATGTACGAAAAGAGATAGTTTTGATAAAAAGTATTGGAAAATATATTTAAAATTTTATACACATATTAAATTTATTTACATGCAGTATTATGTTGGTTATGGAACTAGTTGCCTATATGAAAATGTTGAATAAAATTAGGAACTTTATTTTTAATTCTGAAGAAAAGGTTGATCAAAGTATTTTGTTGACCATTTTAAGGTCATGTACAAAGTTATGTTGAGACTAATGTAAAGCAGTTCTGGGTGAAGGAATGG